GGGGGGGGGGGGGGGGGGGGGGGGGGGGGGGGGGGGGGGGGGGGGGGGGGGGGGGGGGGGGGGGGGGGGGGGGGGGGGGGGGGGGGGGGGGGGGCGTTGTTAGGGAATCCAAACACCTTTTGCATCAGAGGACACGAATTCTTCATTACTAAGACTTTAAACCAAACGAAACATGACATACCTCATGTTTTAAATCTATTGTAAAGTCGGATTTCAGGGATTCACTCTTTAACCTCTTGGTAAGCCTAGAAAATAGAGATAATTTCATTTTTTTTTAACCAAAAAGTGTCAAACAAGAATAACACAATCTTGAGACTTTCTAATGAGTGAAAACAGATAAAAATACAAATTTTAAGACGAAAATAAGAGTTTAATTTCCTTGAGGGAAAGGACTGAAAATGCAAAGGTTTGTTGATCAATAAATGAAAGCGAGACTTGTTGCAAAGGCAGCATTCACAATTTCAACATCTGCCAAATAACGTAAAATACTACAAAATGCCTTGACAAAAGAAGCCATGAAGTCTGTTGACTCCTGATCATCCTCACACTAAATAACAACAGAGAAAGAAAAAGAAAAGAAAAAATGCGCTTGACAGAAAAACAAAAATTGCCACTTTTTGTCTCCTAGTTTTAATAACCTCAATGAATTATATGTTGTGGGGTTTTCCGGGGGTGGGGGGGAGGCATGTGGTTTTGGGGAAGAATAACAATTTTATTTGAAGTCATTTTCCTGTTTTGAAAAACCTTCAGTGCTCCTTTCCCATGTAGACTAAAGCCCCGAACTCCCGCGCCAGCCTTGTGAGCCCCACCATCCCCCACCATCCCCCAGGCGTCTTGGTACCCACTGACCACACCCCGTCCATGTTCAGATGCCTGTACCCAACCTTTATTTGGCAAACTTTTCTTCTTCAAGACCAAAGTCAAGGGTACTTTGCTGTGGAACTTGCCCACCAGAATAAACAGAAGCTTCCTTTGCTCCCACAGAACAAGGCACAGCCCTGTTAGGTTCATCACATGCATTAACATCTGTTAGTACACATCCCTCTCTGTGCTACTTTCTTTGTTTTGCCAGCACCGTCCATACCTAGCCAAAATGAGCACTCCCTGAGCTCACTCACCTCAATGAATGAGGGCAATATATTCCTTGATTCCAAGCTGACTGAGGTAGAATCACACAATTTCAAGATCACTGAAATACCATACGGTTCTGTATCTGTTCACAGAGCTGAAGACTAAAGTATCGGTTTTGATTATAACCCTCCTCTTACATATTTTTACTATAAAGAAATCATGACTTAAAAAGTGTAGTAATGAGTTTCAAAAAATTTTACTGAGTTTTTAAATACATCTTAGTCTGAGTGGGCCACAAAAGATTTATTTAAAAATTTACTTCTCATTAGAAGAAAGATAAAGAGGACAGACACAAGGTACGAATTATGTTTAGTTATAAAGCATTTGTGTCATAGTTGATGCTAATGTACCTTGATAGCAGGTAGCACCAAAAGAAGCCTCATGTATTATCTGTCCTATTCTGTCCAATACCTGCCTGTAGATCTGGCGTATGACTGGGTGAGGACTCAAAAGAGATTATATCCTCAGATGCATTTCCGATACATATTAAGAGAAAAGCATTGGCCCTGGCAAGTGGGATCTTGTCCAATTTGAATTCTGCTCAATTAGAGCCAGTTTTCATAAACAAACTGCATCAAGGTAACCTTGGAATTAGGACTCATGCCATGTGCCTTCAAAATCTGATCAGACCACAAAGAGTAAATATTAACCTCATTCAAATTCCAAAGACAGAAAAAGTTATACCCGTGCTTATTGCCACAGGCAAGGAACACAGAGTTGTGATCAGAATCCCAGTGGCATGTAACAGCCATACATGCCCCTTCTTAATAGGCAATAAATATCTTTGAATTGTTCTCTTAAACATGCTCTCCATTTTTTGTTTGACTTCTCAAAGTTTCTTTCTAATTCAATTCTGAAAAATTTTTCTTGAGGGAAACCTCAAATGAGAAAAAAGTGAAAACTAGTAACAGAATTTCTCTGAGACAATGACTGATGAGAGAAGCAAGCTATTGATGGAAATCTAGATAACACTTGCTGGTGGAAAAACAATGGAGGAAATCGGTAACAGTGTTCTGTAATAACACATATTTGAAGAAATCATCTTATTGGAAATTAATGAGAATTTCTCCAAAGATGCAAGTTTTTTCTTTAATTGATCACATGGATGGATCACCAAGAAATGTTAGGCAGTGTTAATTCGAAACTTATTGATGTGGAATTGATAGGCCAAAAAGTATCTTTAGTGGGAAACAGTCTAAAAAAGTGTGTATCATTAAAAGTCTTTAAGTAACCAGTTGTCCTGAAGAAATACTTACGTAATTGCAAATTGTTGCCCTGTCTACGAAGTGGGTCATAAAGTCAAGGAGAGAAGACAAAGGGGATAAACTTTCCTGTACTGGACACTGTTGGTCACCTATACGATACAGAGTCTCCCTTTCCTTCTTCCTAAACAAATTCTGATTTTGAATTATTATTGAGCCCAACAATTAAATGGGTTTCAGGATCAGAACCTGACTAGTCTGAGCCAACCAAAGCACTGAAATTTTCTGGCAACTGTTAATGGTCCAGGGACTGGTACACGCCTGAAGTTGGCCCAACCAGACTAAGGATAAGCACTTACCTCCCATGGTTGGGGGAGAGGTTCTCTACTGTCGGACATGAATAGGAAACACGTAACCCTGACTGTTCTGAAACCACCGAAGGAACCAGATTTAGGGTAAATTGATTCTGTGCACTAAGGGCAGGACAGAGAGAGCAAGCCTGGGTCCTCAATAACACTGTTAACCCTTTCATCAACCAACCACAGGCCTCACTTCCTTTTATGACAATAATATTTCCTTAATTCAGTTTCCGTTGTTTCCTGTCACCTGCATCTAAAAGCATACTAACTGATATAGCTCCTAATAACAGAAGGAAACCAAGTCAGCACATTAGCTTTGGAACTGGGAAAAACCAAACTTCGGTTGATCTTGGGAAGATCCAATTATGGAGCTGATGGGGCTAATGACTCCTTTAGTTCTAAGTATCATACCAATTTCTTGAAGAATAAATAAAAATCTCCTATTAGAAAACCATTTTAAAACATATCTTGGACACATGATAGTTGCTAGGCCAGATGAATTACACCATTTTATCTGTTTGATTACTTTTCCACATCAGGAGAAAAGAAAAGGTGGTCTAAGATAGATGGAATTTTAAATTTGATACTACAGTAGCGTCTACATTTTTGTTTTGTTTTGTTTTTGCTCACAGGAAAAAGGAGGGAAGGAAGGGACAAGACCTTGAACATCAGTTAACTAAAAACATTCTGCAGTTTCGTGGTCAATGTTCAGTGTTGTGAACAGCAGATGACACTGAATGCAGCTTCTCAGGTGCCTCATTCCTCTATCATGCTGGAGTTATGGGAGAAATACTAGGTATTTTTCTAAACTTTGTGCAAAAGATTAGCCTCTTGGCCCTAATTCCTTTAGCCACAGTTCCCTACTGCTCTGCTCTGAATGTTTATGTCCCCCCCCCCAATTCCTATGTTGAAATCCTAATGCCCAAGATGATATTAGGAGGCTGGGCCTTTGGAAGGTGGTTAGGTCATGGGGGCAGAGCCCGAGGGAGCTTGTGTGCCCCTACCACCACGTGAGGACACAGCAAGAAAGTGCTGTCTACGAACCAGGAAGGGGACCCTCACCAGACACCGAATCTGCCAGTGCCTTCCTTGATCTTGGATTTCACAGACTCCAGAATTGTGAGAAATAAACTTCTGTCATTAGAAGCCACCCGGTCTATGTTTTGGGATTTCTTTTCTTTTTTGGTGGCTGGCCATATGATATTTTTTTATAGCAGCTCAAATGGACTAAGACACCTACACACCCTCCTGCAGTGACGAGGCTCTCAGTTCTCTCTCCTATCCCCGTAGAAAATCTTGTTACATTTGAGCAGAAAGGGAGATCTGAGACTCCTAAGGAAGCTGGGCACTTGGCTACCTTCCCTTGTCAACAGATGTGTTCAATGACCTCATAAACATGATGGGGAAGGGAATCGTGAGCCTGTGGCCTCCTGTGGAACTGCCTCACAGAATGCCAGGTAGCCCATAACATAAAGTCTCCCCTCAACAAGGCTAACATCTTGGCTAGTGTGCAACCTGCAACCCTGGCTCACAAAGCCCCGGCAGCTAGTCACATGGCGAGCAAGAGAGAGCATGAGAACTGCGGCCAAAGCACAGAGTTCACAGACCCAAGAGGTTTTGTAGAACGGGTTTTGCTGTAATGCCAGCAGCCCAAGCAATGAGAGTTGGGCTGGACTGACCTATAAGAGGATACTAGGAGCAAAGACTTGTCCAAGAGAGAACATGTCCATCCTTCTGGTTAAAAAAATAAGTCGAAAGGTAAGAATAAACAATTACCCTAGTGCTTCACTCAATAAAAAGTGAATTGAACTCAGAATCAAGAAGTCTCCAAAAAGGTCTCTGCTAGATGAGTGGGGAAATTGTGATGGGAAGAAGGAAGGTGACACTCTCTAGACCACCAGGACTTGCCTTCAGGATGAGAGGTGTCTAGGATCAGAGGGGAGGGATGGAGGAAGGAGCTACACCAGCTTCTGAGAAATGGCTACATCCCAGGGCTTGCTGTATAGGGTCTTCCTAGGTCCACTGGTTTCCTCTTCAGCCCTGGGGGAGGAAGCAGTTGCTAAGCAGCACCTCACAGGCAGCTTAGCTGTGCTCGTTCCCTTCTTGAGGGGTTAGTTGGACTATGGTGAACAGGAGAGAAACGGGGTTATAAAGAGCTTATAACTTCAAGTCAGAGAAATCACAGCCACATGGGACTTCTCCCATGGAGAAATCAGACCAAACCATTCCACACTATGAAGCATGGTAAAGAGAGAGTGAGGAAGGACTAGAGGAAGACTCCTGTGGCCAGCGGGGAGGAAGAATCCTGAAGGGACAAGGAACAGTGGCTCAGACTGGGATGTGCTGCTCGCAACTTCTGTATTTTAAGAGTCCAGACTAAACAAAGGTAGCTGAACTGGCCCCCAAACACAAGGCTGCTGGACACAGTGGAAAAGAGTGTCCTGGGAGCTACTGGTCTTTAAGCTGCAGCAAACCCACACTTACTTAATTTGAGAATAAATATGACCTTAGTCTGGGGAAGGGCAAAACATACTCCCCTCTCCCCTACAGAGAGCAGAGCCAGGCAAAGCAGTAGAGGGTGAGAAAGAAATGACTACCTCTTCCTGTCTCTCGTCCCCTTCCTCCCTGACCTTCCAAAGAATGGAGGGTGGAAACTGTGCAAATCCTCTGAGGCATGCTTGGTACAGGATGGGAGAACGGCATCCCTGCCCAGCGGGACCAGGACAGGATATGTGAGTCAAGGTTCTTAGGTGCAGACAAAAGAATCCACTTTAGCTAGTTTAAGCATAAAGTACATTTATTAAGGCATATAGATGGCTCACAGAATTACTGGAAAGTCTGAGTAAAGAGACTGTACGCTAAGATTCCAAGAACAACCCCCAGATTTGCACCAGAGAAATAAGTGGCCAAGGAGCTTCAGACTCTGCTGCCCTCGGATAGCTGCTACATCAGGAAGCCACTGTCTCAGCTGCCAACCCCCAAATGACCCTTCCTCTGCCACAACCTCTTAAGGCCAAATTTTCCTACATGCTTGTGTCCTTCCCCACATAACTCAGTTCCCAAAAAGAATACTCACAGCACATCTACCTGATAGAACCTACATCACACAGCCATTCCCTACTAGCAAGGAAGGCTAGAAAACAGGGCTTTTGTGACTGCTGCTGTTGTCCGGATTCCACACTGAGAAGGAGGGAAGCACACTGCGGGGAACTTTCAAATGTGCAGGGCATACTCAAGAGGTCTCATCACTACCCTGCATATCTCCAATGGGCTAAAAAGTTTTTCAAGACCCCAAACCCTAGAAACAGGATATTTAATATAAAAAGTGATAGAAATCCCTCCATCTCTGAATATATGAAGACCACAAGTGCTTTATCAACTTCCCACTCCCTAAAGAACAAAAAACACATAATAACTAACATGATGTATTCAGACTAAAAAAAGGGCCTGCCAACAACCATATTTCTCCTAAATTACAACTTAATCATCTTCACTTTCGACACCTAACAGAGCCTCACTGCAGTTATACACACAAATAACTAGGCATGATTACCATCAGTGCCTTCTGCTAGCTGTCCCTACTGCTCAGCCATGTTCACATATGCATGCCCACGCATGTAATTAGCCATCAACCCCCAACCTGAGCATGCTCCCGATTCACTTTCTTACTGGCGATCCAAGTTATACCTACAGCTAACTAGGTCCCTTAACAACAGTGGTGATGCCTCCGTGTGCACAGTGCTCAGAGCAATCACATGCTCTCCCCTTGTCTCACAACTTATTATTTGCTTTATTTTGCAGGTGGATAAGAGGAAGTACAGAGAGGTTGAGTGGTTTGTCTGAGGGGACCGATATGTGACGGAGCTGAAGCAAGACCCCCCAGACCTGTCCAGCTCAACCACATGGCTGCCTCTTGCTGAAAAACTAATTTGAGGTCCTGAGATCCATCAGTGACAGTACTCAGCGAAATAAAAGTTAATCCACACACCAAAAAAAAAAAAAAAAAGTCTAAGAAATTCTTACTTGTTTACAAGTGGAATACTAAGGGCCCAGCCAGCAGCAAAGTCTGGATATTTAAAAACCGTAGGATTTTCAGAAAAGGCATAATGGTGAATTATTGTAGATTCTTCATCATGTAATGCTTTTCCTAAAAACCATTCCTATGGAATAAAGATATGAAATGTCATTTTTTTTAAGAAACCATTTCATGTAAGACCAAAAAAGTTGTACCATTAATTTTAGTTAATTAAATATCTTGGGTGATAGAGAGCACAGACTATGCATTTCTACAGAATTTGAACAAAAAATATAATTAACACTAGTATGATAATAAATACAAAATAATCTCTATATACAAAAAGTAGTTCAAGATCAGATCACCAGCATGAACAAAATGTTAGTTATTATTATACCACGAATGTACAAAATTGGTATGTTATAGAATACTCCATGTAAAAATTGTTAAGGCAAAAAAACCCCCCAAAAGACCCAGTGTTCCCTTATGTTCCACTGAGGTTTTCAAAAAAGGATTTGAAAATCCCTTCCAGAATCAGTGCCTATTTTATTCGTTTATTTATCCACTCATTCAATTAATATTTATTGAGATTCTACCACACACCAGGCAGGGAGATAGAAATTAAGCAAGTAAATAAAGTAACTTCAGATAGTGATTGAAATGTGCTATGATGAAAATAAAACAGAGTGATGAGGGGCAACCCTGGAAAAAGAGGGAAACCTCATATGATGTAGCAAATGAACTGAGATGAAATAACATCAAGGAGCCAGTTATGCAAAAATCTGGAGAAAAGTCAAGACAGTTAAAGCAAAGTCCCTGAGGTGGGAAAAAGCCTGATATACTCAGTGAAAAAAGAAATCTAGTGTGGCTAAAGCATACTGGGTGTGGGGAAGATGATATGTGTAGAGGATTCATAAAACAAATGTACCTCACAGGGCCTGGTTTTCCAAAGCCTTGCAGTTTCAAATATTGACCTTGCAAGGACAGGAAATTTTCCTGAGGCTATAAGTCTCTGGTGTGAGATAAAGATTTGTGGCACAGCAAGGTTGCTGGCTCAAAGACAGACTAGTTACTGATTGTTATGTAAAGTTACTGAGAAACTGCTAAAGGGAGAAGGAATGTTTGCTAAATCAAGCCTTTGTTAGTGGATCACTTAATTGCCTAACAGAATGTTATCTGATTTGTTTTTACTGAATGTTACCAGCTTCTATTGTAAAACTTGTTAAACTGTACTTAGCAAAACCTCACCTATGTCTCTTCCTGTAACTTCTTGGTCTGGAGAATAAATGCAGGAAGAGAACCCCAATTCGTGGTTAATTTCCCAAATGGAAGGAATGCCTCGTGCTTGAGGAAGTTCTGGGATATTAACCCCTTTCTGCAGCTTCTCACTGCTCAAAAAAGATGGGCTTTGAGTAATCTTTGGTGGCTCCACCACACAGGGGAAAAGGGGTGACAAATCCACGGGAGGCAAAGCAGCAAAGAAGAAAAAAAAAGTTTTTAATATATTCTATTTTTGGTTAAAACACCATTGTTTCTTTGAATGCAATCATCTGTGGGACTGTGAGGCCAGCTGTTGACCTTTATATGGATTATGTAATTTATGCCCTAGGATGAGATGGAATCATAGTGTTTTAGGGAAAGATATTTTGTTAACTTTATGCTATATACCTATCTCATAGCCGGGAAACATGTCTTCTCTCCATTGATACAGTTCTCATTGTAGCAGTTTAAAGGAAATATAATGATATCAGGAAAATATCTTCCATCAAATGTAGGGTAAGAAAAATGAGTGTTAACTGGAAGAGCACCACTCCTGTGTTGCTTATTTGCCATTTATTATTTGTAGCTCTTCATAAGTTGTGCATGTATAACTTAGTGAATGTCTGTTGTCTTTTGAACTGTATTGAAAAATTTTTAAAAACTTTGTTGAACTTTACATCTATATATACAAAATCATTTAAATAAGTATCTGTTATTTTTCCATAGACAAAAAAAAAATCTTTTTCATAAAAACCACCCATTTTCAAAGAGATTAAAAATCCTATTAACTTTCCAGAAAATATACTCAGTTCTCCAAATTTCACTACAATATTTGGCTGTGCAAATACAGCTGCCAAGGACAAAGCCAGCTGAGATGGGATCAGGGGTGAAAACAGCAATCACGCTTCTCTAGGCATCTCAATGAGATTCTTATTCAATACAGGACATGTTGTGCTGGGGACTGCATGCTCGTGGGATTCAAAGATACCAATATTGCACAGTTTCATTCCTGCTCATTTCAAGAGGTGAAAAATCTCATGATTTTGTATTATTTCATATTCTTTACTCATGCTTCTGCATTTGTATAGTAATCTCTAAGACAGCGTGGTGTATACTGGAAGCTCCAAGTGGTCCTGTAGAAGAGATTAGTAATCTGGAAGGCAAGTCTGTAAAAAATATCCAGACTGACACATTAAAAGGAAAACAACAAAGAAGAGTTTAAAGCAATATGAGACAGCGAAAAGGTCTAAAATGCATGAAGTTGGAAACCANCCCAATTCGTGGTTAATTTCCCAAATGGAAGGAATGCCTCGTGCTTGAGGAAGTTCTGGGATATTAACCCCTTTCTGCAGCTTCTCACTGCTCAAAAAAGATGGGCTTTGAGTAATCTTTGGTGGCTCCATCACCCAGCAGAAAAAGGGGTGACAAATCTGTGGGACCAACAAGTATGAAAGAGAGGCAGGAGCAGATCAGGATGGGTTTTACATACCAGAGGAAAGGAGTGCAGACTTTATTCTAAGTGCAATGATAGTCTTCCACTTCTGGCAACAACAGAATAGCCTGGATCAGAACTACTCTCCCACTGAGAACAAGTGGAAATGCTGGAGAAATTACATAAAGCCAATGATTGAAGTCACCAGAAAACAACAAAGGCAGGTAAGACATAAAGGGCTAAGATCCCAGAATTGGGCCCCATACTGGCCTCTTCTTTCCTTCAAGGAATTTGCTGGTTTCCAAAGCTACAAATAGCACACAGCAGAAAGCAGCAGCTGGGGACTTCTGCAGCCCCACTGGACTGAGGAGACAGAAGTTGGAGCTAGAGACTGACAAGGAGGCAGAGATTTAAGAGCATCCCAGAGAAGTGAGCCCAAGATTCTGCATGCAATTTGCCCTCAACTACCTAGGCTGCATGAAAACCAAGGGTAAACACAAGAACCAAGTAGAAAGCAGTAGCAGAAAGGCAAAAAAGCTGAGCAAAGTCCTCAGCAGCTTTATGGTGCCAGGGAGAGCAAGGTTGGAGTTTAGGGTCTGCTAGGAATGAAAGGGCTCTAGGAATAAGGGCAGTCTGTAAATATCATCCACAGCCTTCTTAATTTTTCACACAAAATATCTGATATTTAGTCAAAGATTACCAGGCAGGGAAAGAAAGAAGACCAGACCAAAAACAGAGAAAAAGTGAAACACAGAAAGAGATACATAGATAAATCAGATTTTGAAGTTATCAAACAAGACCTTTAAATAACTTTGATTAATATACTAATATACTTAAGAAAATAGACAAAAAGATGAAAAATTGTACCAAAGAACTAGAATTTAAAAACAACAGTCATATGGAAATTCTAAAACTGAATAATACAAGAACTGAAGTTAGAAATTCAAAAGGATATTAAACACAACAGAAGAGATTAGTAATCTGGAAGGCAAGTCTGTAAAAAATATCCAGACTGACACATTAAAAGGAAAACAACACAGAAGAGTTTAAAGCAATATGAGACAGCGAAAAGGTCTAAAATGCATGAAGTTGGAAACCAAGAATAGAAGGGGAGAGGAAATGGAACTAAAGAAATATTTGAAGAAATACAGGCTTAGAATTTTCTAAAACTGACAAAAGTCATCAAACTATAGATTTAAGAAGCTCTCTAAACTCTACACAGGACAAATACAGTCATGCATCACTTAACAATGGTGATACGTCCTGAGAAATGCATTGTTAGGCAATTCTGTTGTTGTGTGAACATCACAGAGTGTACTTATTACACAAACCTAACTGGTATAGCCTGCTAAACACCTAGGCCATATGATATGCCCATTAATATCTTTTGGGCCCATCATTGTATGCGCAGTCTGTCATGGACTGAAACACTGCTACGCAGTGCATGACCATACAAAGAAAACCACATGTAGGCACATAATGGTAAAACTGTTGAAAACCAAAGATAGAGAACATCTTAAAAGCACCTGGGGGTGGGGGGTGTGAGGGAGTGGGGAGAGTATACATATTTCTTTCAAAGGAACAAAAACAAGACATACGATTGACTTTACAACAGAAATAATGAAAAGTGAAAGACATATTTACAGTGATGGAAGAAAATCACCACCAACCTAGAATGCTATACCCAGC